GATGTTATAACTTTCTTTAGTTTATTTGATCGAGCCTCACCCTCAATTCTTGTGTTCATCCTTCGGGATAGATACAGGGTTTGAGGTAAAGCGCTCTTTCATTTAAACTATGAAAATTATGGGGTTAGTTTGACTTCATCTTTTTCAAAACTAAATTTTTTAACGTCCTTCCGAAGCGGGCAACGAGATTTCAATTTTGATGACCGACAGCTTCTTACGGACAAACTCCACACCAAAATAGTGCCGACAGTAACCTTTCAGATGTTATCTGAGACCACCACTGAATGACCACTCTCATTGAGCTGCCCAATAGAGATGAGGTTTTTCTTCAACTCAGGAACGTGTCTGACCTTTTGTAATGTCCATTTGCTTTTATTAGGGAGTGCAATATCAAAGTCTCTCATCCCCCACCATGTCCAAAGCTTTTCCATCAGCCAGTGTACCTTCCCAAAGTTACTTGTAACATAATTTCACATTAACTCCCGGCAGGAAGATGTATGGAAGGAAGCCCCTGAATCCAGTATCCAGTTATTATCCAGTATCAACAGAACTGTGAACTACCAGCAATAATGCATCATGTATTTCTTTAGTTACAACATTAGCGTCATCATTCTCTTTCTTCTTATGAATTATGCAATTCCGTTACAACATTAGCGCCATCATTCTCTTTCTTCTTATGAATTATGCAGTTCACCAACAGGTTGTCTGCTGACCAAACTTTGATTTTGATCTTTCTCTGTTTGAATTCTTGTCATGTGATCTCTCTCTGGAATCAACATTCAGTGTCGAACTTGAACACGAGGCACGCCAGAATCCTTACTGCACACCTCCTCAGCCAAAATCAAATCATGAATATCATCATATTTCAGCTTGGATTTACCTGCAGAACTGCTAAATGACATCCTCATGGCTTCTCAGCTATTTGACAATTAGTCAACAATATCAGTGCACGTATCTCATCATCAAAATCAATTTCAACAGGCGAAAATTGATTTGTGATAGTATTGAAATCATTCAGGTGTTGAACAACAAAGACACATTCCATCATCTTCAAGTTGAATAATTTTTTCATCAAATGTACATTGTTATTCGCCGATGGCTTTTCATACATACCTGATAAAGTCGCCATGAGATCTGTAGTAGTTCTCTCCTTGATGACGTTGTGGACAACCGATCTTGACAGGGTTAATCGTATAACCCCCAGAATCTGTAGATCCAACAGATTCCATTTCGTCTCGTCCATCTTTTCTGGTCGCTTTCCCAGTAACGGAAGATGAAGTTTCTTCTCATAGAGGTAGTCCTCTATCTGCATCCTCTAGTAAGTAAAATCTGTGTCATTGAACTTCTAGATCTCCGATGTCATCACTTCATCTCATCTGCATCCTCTAGTAAGTAAAATCTGTGTCATTGAACTTCTAGATCTCCAATGTCATCACTTCATCTCAACCCATTGTTCTTCCTTAGATTCGAACCCAAGACTCCTATACCAGTTGTTGTGAAAAATGACGACAATAAAGCAAAAAATTGGAACGAGTAAAATTGCACACAGAAAAAATACCAGAGCGACACACAAATTTACGTGGTTCGGCAAATTTGCCTACATCCACGGAGCTAGAGAGGTTTTATTTATTCGAGGAATTACACCGTCGAGCCCCTCGATGTTTACAAAAAAATCTTTATTTTCTTCTCTCTCTTCCTCTCTCTCTCTCTTCCTCTCTTTCTCTTAACTCTCAAGATGTCTTGGCTTGGTTTTGCTTGGCTTTTCCTTTAAACCAAAAGAGACTATTTATAGAAACCATGAGAGCGGTAGGTAAGATACTTAATTAGGAAACTAATTAAATTCGGTGGATCGGGTCCCACATTACCCAACATGATCAATAAACCCCTTGAGTACTAGTTCCCCAGAGTAAAAGAAGCTTTGACTTTAGGATCAAAGATGGTAAAGTCATTCAGCTAAAAAGAAAAGCAACATTATAGCTGTGGATTTGTTTTTTTGGACAAATAAAAAATTATGTGTTAGTGATGGAATGTATCAGATTTGAGATTGAGAGAGCTTACGATGGGGTGTTGGCAAGATGTTGTCGTCGGTTTGTGCTACTAGAGTCGAGTGGCCTATACGCACCATGACATGTTCAGATCTTGTGGCTGGTGTAGCAAGCTGAAGATGGTTCAGGTCAGAGGTAAGATATGTTGTGGCGCCTGAATCTAGTACCCACGTGGAATTTGATGCTTATAGAGCTTGTTTGGTAGGTATGTATTCCAAGTTTGAACGATGTCATCATGAAGCCATTGAGTGACCAAATTTTTTGTAGATATGGCATGTAATTTATGCTCTTTGTGAGTTCCAACCCCCTTTGGTGCGATTTTGATTTGGAGCTCTGCCTCAACCATTATTATGGTAGAACTATTGTTCCCTTGTTGCAGCAAGAGCGAGATGATAATTAGAGGGAGAGTTGAGTTTTTGTGAGTCATTTACAATGTTAATCTCTTCACTACACAGTAGAGAGTAAAAGTCATTAAGATCAGTGGGATGTAGTTGAGTCTAGATTGCCAGCTTGAATTCATGGTAGGTTGTCGGAAGGTCGTTGAGAGAGTAGAGGATGATATCCTCTGAATCTAACTTTCCTCCCGCCTCAGTAATGTTATGAACAAGAGCTTTGACACTTGATATATATTAAGTCATCATTTGTTTATTCATGGAGAGAGTGTGTCGGGCATTCTCGAGCTGGATAAGTTTTGAACGATTTGTTGGTTGCAATCTTTTGGAAATTGTACGTCAATTCTCAGCAATAGTAGAGAGTTTTGATGCGCAGGGAAGAATTGATGGAGATATAATTGCGTAGATGGCTATTGTAGGGTTTTGATCAATCAAAATTCATGAGGCGTAGTTTGGATTACACAATTGAATATCGTCGCCATTTTCGATAGATTGAGGAGAGCAAGGCATGCTTCCTCCGAGAAACCCTTGATTTCCATTTGTTGTGCATATCTTTAGAATTTTAGCCTTCCATATAGGATAGTTATCCGCAGATAAAGAGTTTTGAGTTAGTTGCTTGATGTTGCTCGTGATAAATTTGAGGGAAGGGGGAATAGTATTTGTCTCCTATATTGTTGGGTTTCAATTTTCTGAGATTTGTGAGGTAGAAAATAGTGAGTGTTGATGTTGTAGATCGGATTGAAACCATGAGAACTTGAAGAGGCAGATTCGATCGGCTCTAAGTTGTCGGTCTCGATAGATACTGATCGGGCTACTCGAGAGCGGTGAGATTGGAGCAGTTTAATCTTCGATGAAAGATCAAATAGGCTTGAGCTCAAAGTTTTGATACCATGAAGAATCAAGAGAGAAGAAGAACTTGGAGGGAAAACCTTGATGGAATTAGAGAGCCAAAAGTGCCCCTCTGTCGTCCATACCTTGTGATACACAGAACTAGCATTTGTTCTATTACAATATACCATAATATACCCTTACAATATACAACAAGAGAAATATAGCTTATCCCATACTAAAGGGTTTATTAAAAACAAAAAATAAAAGTGAGCCGTGACTATAATAATGATTGTGGAAGTATTAGCGGACGGTGACAATGATTGACCAACAGTCGTAGTAAGAAAATAATTTAGAAATGCTAGCTGGGAGAGCAATTTGACCATGGTGATCGGATAATAGTTGTTGTCATCACCATCAGTTGTAGGACAGAGCTCAAGCGTTCTTAAAATCTCAAAGCTTTGTTCAATTTCAAGTCTAGGCCTTCACTCATGTGGAGAATAAGAGGTTTATTTATAATTTTTTGAGAGTATAATTGAGCTATTTTAGTCAAAATTCCAAAACACTTTATTATACTTGTATTATTCATTAATTACAAGAAAAAATCATTCAGCATTTAAGTGCCTTAGTGACTTTCAAATTGAGACACATTAGATTCTCATTACTCCTTTTGAATTTACTATTGAGCTTTCATTTGGCCGCAAAAATGTCAAAATTAAGTCTAAAAAAACAAACAACAATTACTTTTACAGCACCTTCTGTAAAGCGTTTAAGCCTTTGAAAAATGTATGCTCAAACATTTTTAGAAAATGGCTTTAGAGTTCATGTTTAAAAGAAGGTCATTTACATACACACAAAACAATTCCTTTGTATTTAGGTTTCTAACGCCTAAAGTTTGCTTTTTACATTAATGCCATATAAAACCTTCACATCACGTCAAAAAGACCATTGTTCCAACATTTAAAAAGGGAAATACAGATTTTCTTGCATAAATAGGGGTGATATTCATGTAAAAATTGTAGATGTTAGATATGTAAATACATAGGAATTGAGTGGTATGTAAGTAAATCATTCGTTGTTTGGTTTGCCCTTGTATGCCTGCCTTTGCTTCAGCAATATTTTCACAACTTTTTTTACAAACTACAACAATTCCAAATGAATCCAAATGTAAAACCACAATTATACAGACATTTTCTTCAATCATTTCTACTTCAGAAAACAGAAATTGTTCTTTTATTAATCACCAAATGCTGAAACACAGATTAATGATCACACATGACTTTCCTAAACATCATTATTACATCTGATAACATTATTAAACTTCAATCCAAAACCTCCATCTCTTCAGAAAGAAACCCCAAGAAGCAGAATCTTGGAGGATTCCAAAGAAGACTCAAAAATAAGAAAGTTGCAATTAATTCCCAATGATCATCAGATGAAGATACTGACAATTAATTCATGGCATATTTCTGGGTCCAGTTTCGAGCCGTCGCCTCATATCGCAGCCGGTCATTCTTGCATATGTGGGCGATCTCCGGCACCAACGGATCATCGGGGTTCGGATCGGTGAGAAGAGAGCATATAGATAACAGAACCTACGAGTCATAAATCATGAGAACTTGTAGCCAGAATGAGCCAAGCTTGAGTGAGCTCAATTTTATTCGACAGGGATTGTTGAGTTATTTACAAAAATAAACTCCATATAAAAGCGACAACTATGTAAATTACTTTTGATATGGTGAGAGCAGGGCTCCACTGATCCTTGAGTATGTCCAAACATATGTTCCCATTGCTGTTAATATTTGGATGGAACACCTTAGTTTTGAAGGCTACCTACTCATTACAGTAGAAAAAAACATAACAAAAAGATCACAACTTTAGAACAATTTAAGTCCAAAGACGAAAAAAAAAACAAAAAATCAGAACTTTAGAACAACCTGGACTCCAAAAATGTTTAAAAAAAAAAAACAAAAAATCACATACTGTCCAAAGATGAAAAAAAGGCAAAAATGAAAACTTTAGAACAATTTGGAGTCCAAAGATGAAGAAACCTTGGGAGGTTTGAAGGGGTAATCTGGGGGAAAATGTATGGTGACAAGAAAAACACCCCCTGCATAAGGGCTATCATTAGGGCCCATAATAGTAGCTTGCCAATGGAACATATCATCTGAAACAGGACCTACACAAAAAAAAAAAATATTTAGAAAATAATCCTCCAAAATCTTCTGAATCAAAACCATAAATCTAATTTTCACCTGCACTGCAGGAAGTTGGGGGGTCTCTCTGCAGATCTTTGAGCTCTTTGATAATTCTTCTGGAGGCCATTCTATCACTTAAAAAGAAAAAAAAAAACAAACTGCAGCATAAAGAAGAGAGAAACAAAAATTTATATAGAGCTACAGACCATCAAATTGGTGTCCAAAAGTGGGGAATATAGTCCAAAAGCATCAGATTCTGGATAGGTTTTCAAAGCAAAATTCTGAAGTGGTCGAGAGGAATCAATCTCAAGTTGTAGGACTGTAGAAGCAATGAAAGGATCAGCTGTGGTGTTCATAAGAACAATTCAATTCTTCTTTTGGCTTGGAAGGCTACACCACTAGAAGAAGAATATAATATTCTCCCATAAAGATTGAGATCTGATAACTCTGGTTCTAATTGAGCAGACGAACAACCCCATCAATTATTTCAATCACGAGGATCTGAAGAATATTGTAGATGAATGGTTGTCATTTAAAGGCAAGGAATCCACTTGGAAGATGATCAAAATTAGCCCAGTATTGCAATCAGCTTCCTTTAAAGGATCTCATTATCACTTATTCTTAGCCTTTTGTGGCTTTTGGCTGACCAGCACTCAGGTCTGCGAAACAGGTGCGGATCGCAGAAATTTTGGCTTAGAATACCTTATGGTTCAAATTTGATCAAGATGACATTAGTATACATTAAGTTTTGTCTGAACACACAAGTGTTGTACTCGTCTCAAAATAAATCTAATAATTTTATGTTTAATGATTTGTATACTTTAAGTTGAGCATGCTACTTTATTTTTATAGTTCCTACTATATCAAATTTGTATATAATATAATGTAATTAGTTAAAATATTTATATATATATATATATATATATATTTCAAGGCATCATTAGTATGACTCAATCTGTACTACCCCCATTCTGGCATTATAGCAAGAACAATAATGTAATTTTACATTTGTCCTTCTATCAACTATAAAAAAGGAAGATTATTTCATATATTAGGGGTTTTTTGGTTCGTCTCTCTTCTAACTCATCTATTTAATGAAATAATATGTGTCTAAGAGAGCACCTCATTCGCCCCTATGGGGCAAGTTTATTTTCTCTCTCACTTCCTCTTTCTCTCCCTCAATCCCTACGCTCTATCCCTTCGACATGATTAAATAAATTTAAATTCAACATCCTAAAAGGTACGGTGAGCGTGGATCATGTCATCAGCAAGAAGAAGAACAACACCAAGAAAAAACACATCGATGAAACATTTCTAGCAAAGTTCACACAAGGGAACTTGCACAACGGTGGATTCACTCCATTTATTCCTCGTTGTCGATGATCTCCCAGAAATTTCATCTCTTTTCTCTTAAATCTGCAATATGAGTCTCAATCCACTTTTTCCAAATTATGAAAATCTCCAACACTCCGCTTTGACGCTTCATAGTATACACCCAAACATACTTGGAGTAATTATCAATAAAAGAAAAAAAAAAGCATCTTTGCCCATTGAATGATGTTATCTTTGTCAGGACTCAAACATCTTTGTGAATATACTCTAAAATATCTTTTGTGCTTTGGATGACAGTCCCAAAAGATACTCGTGTCTTGTCCAACACACAATGCTTACATAAATCAATTTTGTAGGTGCTCGCTTCTTTGATTGATCATTTCTTCATCCAAGCGTGAAGTGAAGCCTCAGCTAGTCACTTATAGGGGTGTAAGAAATTGACCTCACACGCCAACACGACTCAAACTCGACTTAAAAATTTTGGGTTAGGGTTGACCGAAATTTTTTTTGAGTCGGGTTCAGGTCCGAGAATTTGATCCGTTGATTATTCAAATCGGGTTCGGGTTGAACCCAAAAATCCAAACATAACCCGAATAAGAACAATATTGCAGATCGGGTTCGAGTTAGTGAGTTGAGCTCAGGTTTGGGTCTTATTTTTTCACTTGTTTATTATTCAGGACGGGTTTGGGTTGACACTATTAAAGTCGGGTCATATTTGGGTCGGACAAGAACCTGACTCGTTGACCTGAATCGACACCCCTAATCGCATATGCCACAACATAGTGGCATCAAAAGAATTATCAGCAAAAACAACCATTCCATTGCACTATACTACCCTGAAGATAGTAAATATTGTGATGACAAACTCCTTTCATAAAAATCATTGCTCCACGAACTATCCTTAGAACTCTCGCCTCAATAAATACTTTGTAGCCCTTGGACTCTAAAGCCCCAACTGAAAATAAATTCTTCTTGATATCTATAACATGTTTAACATCAATCAACCCTCTCATTGTACCATCATGCATCCTGATAAAGATACTCCCTACACTAATATTACGACAAGTTTGATCGTTGATCATAGTCACTGCACCGATGTCCAACTCCTTGTACGTATAGAACAACCTTCGATGGAGACAAATACGATGGGTAGCACTTGTGTCCAGTCCAACACGAATCATTTGTAAAAAAACTATGAGAAGCTGCAGATAACGATACATTTAAATCCACCTATTCACATCTTTCCACGATGTTATTGGCTTTTGCCTCTGATGCAACTTCATTGCTCTTCTCTTTCAGCTTCGGACAATCTTTCTTCCAATAGCTAGTCTCTGAATAGAAAACACACTATTTTTTCTAAGACTATGCCCGCGAGACTTACCCTACTTTTGAGAAGTGTCGTCGTTGTCACCTTTCTTTGACAAATTCTTCATCTTCTTCTCACATCTGCCACGTTGGAGTCTTATTGCCTCGATTGATTCCATCTTTGCAGACTCTTTGTCTCTTCGACATTACTCATGATTCAACAGTGTCATAGTCACTTCGCCATTATTTAAGACCTCATTCTCATGAATGAGAGTCATAGTAAAGTTTTTATACTCATATGGGAGCTAATTCAACAGAAGAAGCGCATTATTTTCATATCTAACCTCCCCATCCAAATTTAACAGATCTGCCAATAGTTTTATGATGTCATTCAAGTGTTCATCAATTGTAACCCACTGTCTCAACTGAAATCTGTAAAGTCGATACTCCACATGGAAACGGTTCTTCATGCTCTTCGTGAGATATTCATTCTCCATCATTCTCCACAATTTTCTTGCAAAACTCGTCATCGACTCATCGTCACCCCATATTTGATTTCCTGGGTCAACCAATTTAAATTAAAGTCACAAACACTTATGTTGATCTTCAACCAATCTCTATCTGATATCTCTTCAGGACATTCTTTGTTATCCAAACTTCTTCCTGATTCAGAAAATATAGCACATCCATTATCTCGCATCGCCGCATGCCAAAGTTCTCTTTGCCGTCAAATTTTGTCATATAAATTTTGACAGAATTTGTAACCACCTGATGAATCGATATTTAACTATCATAACGGATGTTAAAAAATCTGACATCATACTATCAATTATTTCTCATCGTTGAAATTTTTTTTTACTCTTTGCCGTCAAATTTTGTCATATAAATTTTGACGGGATTTGTAACCATCTGATGAATCGATATTTTAACTATCATAACGGATATTAAAAAACCTGACATCATACTATCAATTATTTCTTATCGTTGAATTTTTTTTTCGTCAAAACAAATTTCCCTAGCAAGATATCTCATAAAAGAAAAAAAAGACATAATAAAAAAAGAATTATTCGAGAAATAAATCTAAGAAAAAAAATATTTTTCCTTTTTTTTTTTCACTAAAATATTTTTCCCTTAAAAAAAAATTCCAACTCCCTTTTCTCCCTTCCCCAAAAATCTTCTCCATCAAGGCAAAGTGCCGAGGAATGTACTAGACGTGTACCAGCAATTCGAGAAAAGGAAATTTTGCTTTTGAAGGAATATTCCTTCTAACGGGAATCAATGATTCCTTGCGTTTTTCCTCAGATTTCCTCCCATGCTTTTCTTCCTCCTGGTTTTGAACAGCCATCGCTGCTCTCACCGCCGCCTTCTCCTCCTCGACGCCTGCGGAGCCTCGCAGCCACCGATCAAACTGCCCGGCGAGCTTGTCTGATCTCACGATAAATTCCTGCAATCACTTGAACTCCCCGTCCAAGCCACCGGAACTCCCAATTTGCCGACAAAACATGCTGGCCCACCTACTAAATTTGCTATTGTTACACCTAACCAGGTGCTCTGATATAAATTGCTATGCAAAAATAACTTAAAAATTCAAACAACAACAATCAAACACAAATGATTTACGTGATTTGTATATTAAATCGATTCGCTACGTCCACGGGGAGTGTAATTTCACTGGCACCTAATAAAGAAAAACAAAAGATTGCTTAAGGTTCCAACTCAACATTCTCTCTCCATGCCATACCCCTCTTACTTGAGTCTTATATACATTATATGGTAGAGGATTAGGTCATTCAAGGATAGACCCCAAAAAATAACAAATCAATTATTACATACCTATTAAATAAAAATCATAAATACAACGGATAATATAATGTAATTAGTTGTTGTGTGTCATACAAGTGGCCGAACCAACTCAAACTTACTCATTAAGCAGCTCATGAGTTCAGTTGATTGAACTGCAAGCTCAAGATTGAGTTCTTGTATTATATGTTAGACTAACTCAGTATAAAAACTTTTTTGTGTCATCTTAATTACATTAATTAATTTTAGTTTACGCAAAAAAATAAAGATTTTTACGTTCGAGTTCAAGCTCAAGTTATGATCAAGTGTCAACCATACATCTCACGAGTTGAGCCCAACTTTAGAGCGGCCCGGACCAACTCAGATTGTTGCCAACCCATAGGTGTATGCAAATTTCCATATTTAGTAAGTGAAAGAATTGTCATTCAAGTCATTATCATATCCCTTAACATTTTTTAATATGATAAGCCATATTTTAGAGCAATTATCTTATCAAACGAGCATTGAATTATCTTGTTTTGAATTGAATAGAAGAGATGAGAGATGCATTATCACGTGAAAGAGGCAACCCATGAAAAATATAGAGGGGGTGTGACAGCATGCATGGAGACCACCAAAGAAAATAATGGAGGAGAGAGAATATAATTTTTAAAACTAACGTACATAACGATCATGGAGAGCACCAAATTCTTATGTATTTACATATCCAACACCTAAATTTTATTTTTACATTTGTAGCACCCAAAATTTTCATATCACATCAAAAATATCACTATTTTGAGCTTTTTTAAATATTAAATAGACCTAAAAATTACAATCAAACCATTCTTACCAAAATCTTTTACAAACTATAAAAAACAGAGCATGAAACAGTTCACAATTCCTTCACAAAAATAACCCGCAGATCACACACTAAAACACATATTATAAATATACAATTACACATATACACCCCACCTCACACTTCCGTCACAGCTCCGCCATCTTCCCGGCGAACTTCGCCGCCGCCGCCTCACCCGGTTCCGATAGCATTTTAACCACCTCCCTCATCGTGGGCCGCGCCTCACTATTCTCCTCGACGCACATCATCGCCACCCCGTACAGCCTTGCGATCTTATCCGCCGGCGCCGGCGACAGCCGCCTGGCCCCGCCATCGCGGCGGCCGCACCATCTCCGACCTCCGCCACCGTTTTCTTGACCCACCTGACAATGTCAACTCCGTCGCCGAACCCGCCCACTGGTCTCCTACCGGTTATGAGTTCCAATAGGACCACTCCGAAGCTGTACACGTCACTCTTCTCGTCCACTCTCAGCGTGTACGCATACTCTGCAACCCAACAAAATTAAAAAAGTCAGTTTTAGGGCACGTTAGCTAGTCGGACAAATGTCGTCTTTATGGCGGTCGGCACGGCCCCGTCCAAAATTCGAGTTTTATAAGTGAAAAGTCAACGGAGAAGAAATGTGACAGGACTGGAAAGCCTGGCTCAGGATGGCCTTCCAAGTTTTAACTTATATATACATATATGTAAAAATATATTTTCCAGTCAGGCCTTTTTTTATTATATATAAAAAATATATATCTGCATGTAAAACAATTATTTTTTTCTTCCGACACAGAAAAGAATTACTAAATTTAAAACCAAAGTTAGGGTGTAAAAATATTTGTCCGGCGAGAGGAAAGAGAAGGTTTGCAAATATACCTGGTGCGATGTAGCCGTAAGAGCCGGCAATGGAGGACATGCACTCAGAAGCCCCGGAATCTCGAAGAAACTTCGCAAGCCCAAAGTCAGCAACGTGGGCTTCAAAGTTAGAATCAAGAAGTATATTGTTAGATTTCACATCTCGGTGAATAATCAGAGGAGAACAATCATGGTGGAGATAACAGAGTCCCTTCGCCGCCTCGCCGGCAATACGCCACCGAGCTTCCCAACCCAGATGGGATCCCTTCCCACCATGAAGCATCTCACCGAGACTGCCGTTAGGCATGTACTCATAAAGCAGAAGGTTGGTGTCGCGGTTCGAAACAAAGCCGAGAAGCCGGACGATATGTCGGTGCCGGATTTTACCCAGTGTGGTGATCTCCGCCGTGAATCCCCTATCGTAATGCTCGCCGGAGCCGGCGCCGGTGGCACCGCTACAGCCGACTAGACGTTTGATTGCCACTTCGATGCCGCCGGCCATCGTGCCGCGGTAGACGATTCCGGCGCCACCCTTTCCTATTACGTTGTCGTCTTTCAGGCATTCGATGACGTCCTCCGCAGCAAATTGGAGGCGCTGAAATGCTGTCATTCGCCATGCGTCCGGCCGGCGACGGTTGCGCCATGCTGACCAGACCTTTGCGCTGGCTGCTGCCATGAGAATAGTGAAAACGGATAATAGGATTGTTAATACGATTTTCTTTGATCTAGAGGGGTTTGTGGAGGAATCAGGGGAGAAGCGGGGTGAGGAAGAACAGGGGAAATGGAGTCCAACGCCGCAGAGATTGGGGTTTCCGGCGAACCAGCTGGTGTTGAACACAAGAAATTGGCCTTGATTGGGGATGGGCCCTGAGAGATCGTTGAAGGAGAGATCCATTATTGTGAGACTCTGCATACGCTGGATGTCAGCCGGGATTTCGCCGGAGAGATCGTTTCGTGAGAGATTGAGTGTGTTGAGAATTTTTAACTTTGACATTTGAGCAGGGATCTCGCCGTCCAGCCTGTTGCGACTGAGATCTAAGGAAACTAGCGACGAACATTGGGTGATTTCCGGAGGAATTTTACCGACGAGATTGTTGCCGCTTAGATTGAGCTTGGAAAGTTGGGATAGATTTGCAATTTCAGGGGGGATGTGGCCGGAAATCCGATTTGATTCGATGGAGAGGGTTTGAAGATCCAGAAGGTTCCCGATAGAGGGAGGAATTGAGCCGGAGATCCAGTTGTTTGAGAGAAGAATCATTCCGAGCTTGTCCCCTCTTATCACCGGTGGTAGTTCGCCGGAAAGATAGTTGTCGCTCAATTCAAGCATGTCGGCTGATGGGAGGTTAAAGAGGCCGGCGGGGATCTTTCCGTCGAGGTAGTTCTTAGCTAGTCGGACTCGTGTTAGGGATTGGCATCCGCCGAGCTTCTCGGGAATCTTACCAAAGAAACCGTTTTCCATTAGAACCAAAATCTGAAGCTTCCCGCCAAAACAGAGATCAGTTGGGATCGTCCCTGTAAGCCGATTCGTCGCAACGTCGAGTTTAAGAAGCCGGCCGTTCCGGCCGAGATTCTCCGGCAGCTCGAATGTGAAGTTATTTTCCCACAGCTGTAGGACTTCGAGCTTCGGGTAATCTCCAACGAAAGGCGGGATTCGACCGTGGAGGTGGTTTCGAAACAAGTTGAACAGCATCAACTCCTTCAGCGCAGCAAAGCTTCCCGGAATCTCCCCGGTAAGATCGTTCACCGAGAGATCAAGCGACTGAAGGTTCTCCAGTCCACCGAGCTCCGGCGGAATGGGGCCGGACAGACGGTTCAGCTGGAGAAACAGCGAGTCGAGTAGCTTGAGCCGGCCAAGACTCGCCGGAATCTCGCCGGAAATGTTACAATAGGCTATATCTAGACGAACTAAGGAAGTCAGCAATCCGAACTCCGGCGGAATGCCTCCTTCGTAGAGATTAAAATAACCAATATACATCTGCTGAAGCTTAGCCAACTTACTAAGGCTTGCCGGAATCCTGCCGGAGAGACCATTTCCATTTAGACCCAAATACTCCAAATTCTCAATTTCAGAATAAACTTTCGGAATCTCGCCGGAGAAGAAGTTGCCGCCGAGATGTAGATAACGGAGGCGAGGAAGGCCAGAGAAGTGCAGAGGCAGCGGGCCTGAAAAATTGTTGTTGTAAGCGTCGAGCACCTCGAGCGCCATCATCCCGCCGGCGATATCCGGAAACTCGCCGGAAAAATAGTTGTTTGAAATATTGAGTAGTCGCAGTGACTTTAAGCTGGCTAACTCTGGTGGAAAGCCGCCGTGAATTCCGGCACCGGTGATTGTGAGATTAACAAGACGGTCGAGCAGGGAAATCTCCAGCGATAGCGTGCCATTGAGTGAAATGAAGGTAATGTTGAGGGCGACGACACGAGAGTCTTCATCACACGTGACGCCGGAAAAGTTACATGTATTCCCGGCTTCCACGTTCCAGTCACGGAGGCCAGTGCCACCCGGTCCAACCATGGCGGCCTTCAGTCTAACAAGCGCATCGAGGTCCGGTTGCGGCGAGCCAGAAAGCAGGGGAAGCCATGAAAGGAGGACGAAGAAGTAAAGCCAAACACTCATCTTTCTGGCTCCGCTCCTGAGGGAAGAGCACGGGAGGAGAATATATGAATAAATGGAGCGAGGAAGAATCAGATTCGAGCTAGCGTTAATGGCAAGAGAATCAGAACTGGAAATATAGAGGGGAAGCAGAGAGAGAGAGAGAGAGAGAGAGACGTGCATGAGTGCTGAGGCTTGAGGGGCAGTGTTATGATACGGGGAAGACGGAGGTAAACGGAGGAACTTTAGGTCCGTTTATTATTTCGTGACGGCGTGAGGAGTCAGGGCAGCGGTGGCGGGAGGTGGTACGGCACGGCGGGCAGACCTGACGGGTCTATGGGAAGGGGAGTGGAGGGGATTAGATGACAGGCGGCATCATTTTGTAACGTCCGGTCAATCGACGAGTCAGCTGCTGCGGGTCCCATCCTGCCTGGCGTATATATATATAAAAAAAAATTGGATAGCGTGAGGCTTTATTGCTGTAAATTTTATTTACAGAATGTATCATAATTAAAAGCTATGTTTATATAATAACCGTTAATTTAGTTAGAATAAATTTTGATAAAATTTATAAGTGTCACATCATTTTATCTTAATTATATACCAATATTAATTTTTATTTATTTATTTATATAATACTTAAGATTTTAAATTGATAACAGGTGTAAATACATAGCACACAATTCCTATTTTTATGTTCAAAATTATTTTTTTTTAATATATTTATTGAGCCATAAAAAAAATATAATCACTTAGCATGAATCTCAATGCATTTATTGAGCAACAAGGGTTCATGTTCAATCCCTTTAGGAACGATAGAGTAATTATCTAGTATGTTACTGTTGTACAAGAGTCGAGCACACACTAAGATAATAAATGAGAAGTATCCAAGAATTGATACTCAACTTTTTACATGAAAACCCCCAGAAAGGATAGAAAAACTATAGAGCCCAACTCAATGGAAATAATAAATTATATAATTATGATGGCATAAGTCAAATACTTTTCTGATTTAGGGAAGATGAAGTTACAAAGTAGTAAAATAGTAGATCGTTGATGATAGAGTTAATCTGATTATAATGAATGTAGTACTCAGCGATAGCAGCTGCAGGAGTCGTAGTTGATTTTATAGAGGAAATGGTATTTCGTGAATGTTGTAAATGGTCATTATAATGCTAGTTTGTAATAGTAGTTGTAGCTGAAAATCATGATAGTTGTTGGACATGTGGGTCATTGATGATTGTTTCGTGAGTGTTTGTTGGCCACAGATGACATAATATGAAGTTGTAGGAACTGTGAGCCACGTAGGTCCTATTTGGTCAAATATGCCATAACAGCGAGCTACAATTAGGTTTGTAGGTTGTAGAGGCTGACGATGGTAGTTATATGAGTTCTGGGTTGTGTATGTTTTAGTTGGTTATATACGTCATAACAGAGAGTTGTAATAACGTCTATAGACTGCATAAACCAAATTTAGAATCTACATGAACTATGATAACGTTCACATGATAAAAGACCGAGGTTGAGAGTTGCATGAGTTATGTACCACTTAGACAATATTTGTTCATGTACGTCGTAGTGGTGAGTTGCGAGTAAAGAGCTTTTAAGCTCAAAGAAATTCATTGTATTTTGAGTACGACGGTTGTCACCAATTGTTGTGGGGTATATCATTGCAAAGTATTTGAAATGCATTATTACACAGTCATTGGGATGCATCGCCGCATCATATTTGAGCCATTGCACCAAAGGTGAGTCACATCGTTGTATTGTATTTGTGATGCATTGTTGCACGGTGTACTTTAAAACTTAATGTTCGAGGATTGTTTCATTGTTATGTAACAAATGTTGGGATTTTGCAACGCACGTTGCGACTCTGTAAGAGATTTCACTACAAGGAACAAATGGTGAACAATGGTGATAGACTATGGTCTATGACTGCAATAGTGGCTGGCTGTCACAGGACCTTCAGTGTAGAATTTGGGGGTTTAATTCTCTGCCTTCAAGTCCAGAACATCCTATTGTTCAAAGTCTTGCTCTCCTCTCAAAAGGGGGTAGAACTCTATATATAAAGTATGGAGAATCATCCCTGCAAATAAGGAAGGAATCTGGAGCACTCCATCGAACGACGCAAAGAGATTCCCTCAATGGGACAACGTTTTACGAACATTTGAGTGCCTCAACGGCGTTATAATTGAGTGATTTTGGGCTCGTTGAATTCATCTTATCGAGACACTCGATTTGAGCTTACTAGATTTAAAATTCATTTGACTTTTCAATTAGACACAATAAACCTTTAAAAGTGATTTATCACTTCATCCAGACTTTATTTGACTTGGATTGCACTAACTTTAGTATCATTAAGTCATCCTCATCGAGCAGGTCAATTTGACTGTAAATTTTTTGTAAAAGAAATTAGAGATACTTTTTTTTTATTAGAATTCGAATATTTTATGCTCAAAATGTATTATAAGATTCATGCTAATTACCTCAAAATTCATTTTAAATAATACATTTATTGTTAACTTATCACTACCAAAGATATTCTCCAACAAGATACATGACTTAAGCCTCGAAGATCTCATATAAAATTCATACTATAACCATAGATATATATTTTATCATAATTAATTATCGATTTGCCAATGTATACAGAATTATAATTATAATTATAAATTTAACCTTCGACTCAAACTTATGACCTTTAAAGAACATCACCTGGCGCTGTTCC